TCCGTTGTGGAAGAAGGGGAGGACACTGAGGGTTTCCCAAGCTTCGATGTTTGGGTGGCAAAGCCCCTTGAAGCGGAGGTCAAACCATCAAGCACTCCCCCATCCTTTCAGCCCACTACCGCTCCAGCTCTTCCCTTACTAGCTCGTTCTGCTTCAACTCAGCTATCTCTTGCTCATGCTTCTGTTGCACCCGTTGACGCATCCATTCCTATCGATCTGATGGATGATTAGTTTTAGGCTTATTTCTTTTGTATTTTTTGCATTGGTCACTTGACCCTTTAAAACATTTTAATGACTGTCCCCTGCATTTACATGTATATTTTTTGGAAAGAAATACAAAATGGACAACATTTCATGAAGTTTCTGTATTCAGTAATCTTTCTCTACACTTTACATCTTCTGAGTATGTTAAATCGTAGTACAAACTAACTGTAATATCTCCTAAGATTGTGCATGTTGCAAGTGAACGGTAACTGATGACCTTGTGCATCTGCTAACAAGTAAAACCTAGGTTGTTTAATATGAATAATTGTCTAAGGACATTCCCAATTAGGAGTGAGGTTGCCCATATGCGAATAAGCACTAGTGAGTCCAGCCTTGCGTAAAACTAGGTCACCAACTTGAAACTAACGAGCATGCACCCTTTTATTATAAAATCTAACAACATGGCTCTAATAGGCTATGTTTTTCATAGGAGACATCTCCCTAACCTCCTCCACGAGATCTAAGTTCTTTCTTAGGAGTTGTTCATTATTAGAATCGTTATGCCGATTTGATATATCAGGTGACAATTCGATTTCTATAGGGATTGCAGCCTCAGCTTCAAAGGCAAGAATGAATGGAATTTCGCCTGTGGCCGAGCTAGGTGTAGTACGACATGACCAGAGTACTTGTTGAGCTCGTCAACCCAATTCGAGTGCATGGCTAGGACACATGTCTTAAGGCCATGCAAGATGATTTTATTAGCTAACTTTGCTTGTCCATTTGACTGTGGAGTGTACACAAAAGTGAGGGCCAACCCAATGTTATAATCATCACAGAACGACTTGAGTGCTGCTGGTCGAAACTGGGGTATGTTATCAGCAATTATTCTCTTAGGAATACCAAATCTGCATACAAACGCACTGACTAAGACACAATTACTTGCGCATATAATGCATGTGTGGTTTAAACCATTGATGAGTATCTGCACAATCTGGAATTGAACAGGAACTCCTTTATTTTCCTCTCGGTTGTCGTGGACAATGATTTGGCTTCTATCCACTTAGTGAAGTAATCCACAGCAACAATGATGTGTGTGCTCTCTCCTGTAGCAAAGGAGATGTTTATGTTCATCCCAGAGATAAACACAAAGTTTTGACAAGTTTTAGAACGAGCTCAGGGTACTTGGCATGTGAATGTAATCAGTGTTAAATTGGCAGGTTGGGCATTTTTTGACGTAATTTTGCGCATCTTCAACCATAGTAGGCCAGTAGTACCCGTGCCTTAGAATTTTTTGAGCTAGGGTTTTTCCTCCAATGTGTGTGCCACACACTCCTTCATGAACTTCCCTTACAGCATATTCAGCGTCATAAAGAGTGAGGCAATGTAATAGGGGCATTGAAGCTGCTTGTTTATATAACTGATTGTCAATTAGAGTGAAATGTGCCGCCCTACGTCTTATTAATCGAGTATCAGATGGATCCTCAAGTAATTCACCATTTCGCAAGTAATTAATCAAGGGTGTAGTCCAACTCGGTGATGAGGGGTCTGTACTTAGTACTTGACACTCAACGGTTAGGTTGGTATAGCTTGGTGCATCAAGTATCTCGATGAACGTTGTCCTCTGAGGATTGATATCTTGTGATGAAACTAACTTCGACAGCTCATCAACTCGTCGATTATCGACCCTTGGTATCTTGTCAATCTGAAATGAGATAAAGCTTGATTTCAACCTACTAACCACAAAGGCGTAACGACCGAGCTGAGGGTTTCTAATATCACAGCTTCCATGTACTTGATTCACTATGAGCTAGGAGTCACTAAAGACTCTTATGTTTTGCGCTTTCAGCTTGGACGCTAGCTTTAGACCGTAAATGAATGCTTCATATTCAGCTGCATTATTCGTTGTCTAAAATTTGAATCTCAATGCATGCTCAGATTTGAAGCCATTTGGGCCTATTAATACTGCCCTTACCCCTGATCCTTCAACATTGGCAACCCCATCTACGTACAAAGCCCATACCAGGTATGATGGTGTGGCTTCCTCTACATCCGCTGGATAGCATTCCACCAAGAAATCTACCAAGGCTTGGCCCTTAATGGTTGTGCGTGGTTGAAATTTGAGGTCATATTCACTCAACTCAACCGCCCATCCAATTAGCTGACCCGAAAGCTCCAGCTTCTGCAATATCTTCCTTAATGGTAGGTTAGTGTAGACACCAATCTCATGAGATTGGAAGTAGGCTCTTAGCTTTCAAGCAATGCAGACGAGTGCAAAAGCAACCTTTTCAACAATTGGATAATTCTGTTCAGCACCCTATAAGACTTTGCTTGTATAACAAATGGGTTTTTGATATTTATCTTACTCTCTTAACAGAACTGAGCTAATTACCTCATCTGTGATCCCCAGATACAAGTGCAACTTCTCTCCTTCGACAGGCTTAGAGAGCAAGGGTGGTGATGCCAAGTATTGTTTGAGTTCCATTCATTAGTCCACTGGAAGTTTTTGGGCTCTCGCAAAGCTCTGAAGAAAGGAAGTTATTTTTCTACCGGCCTGGCAATGAATCTGTGCAGGGCGACAAGACGACCTGTTAGACGTTGCACATCTTTTACTATTTTAAGGGGTTCCATCTGTTGCACAGCCTCAACCTTGTCTGGGTTCACCTCAATCCCTTTCTTGGATATGGCATACCCTAGGAATTTGCTCGATTCTATAGCAAATGTACATTTCAAGGGGTTTAACTTCATCTGTACTCGGCGTAGATTCTGAAATGTTTCATTCAAGTCACCAATACGATCTTCAGCTCATACACTGGTGACAATCATATCATCAATGTAAGCTTCGATATTTTTGCCAATCTGGAGTTTGAATACGACCTGAACCAACTTCTGATATATAGTGCCCGCATTCTTTAGGCCAAACAGCATCATGACATAATAGTAGATGGCATCCCTTGCATAAAATGCTGTTTTCTCTTGATCATCAAACCAAAGCTGAACTTGGTGGTATCTAGAACAGGTATTTAAAGAGCTCATGCGCTTGTGGCTTGCTGCTCGCTTTACCAACTTCTCCACATTGGGCAAGGGTTGTGGGTCTTTAAGACATGCTTCATTCAAGTTTGTGAAATTGATGCACATTCTCCACTTACCGTTCGGTTTTTTGATGAACACAAGATTAGACACCCATTGTGAATAGTCGACCTGGCTGATAAAACCTGCCTATAATAGCTTTTGTATCTCTTCATCTATAGCAGCTTGCTTTTTATGGCAAAAAAGGCGGCATTTTTGAACCATTGGCTTCCTGGTAGGGTTCGTACTGAGCTTGTGGACTGCTAACTTTGTCGGAATTCCAGGCATTTCATCCGTTATCCATGCGAAAACATCCTGGTTGGCCTTCAAAAACTCTAAGAGCTCCGTCCTCTCTTCCTCTATGAGCTTAATTCCAACTTTCACCGTTTTTTCTGGTTCATCCGGATTTAATGGAACTGTTTCTATTGGCTCCACTAGCTCAGCCTTCTGCTCCACGTTCTTAGGTCGGTGATCTAAGTCAGAAATGCTCATTGTCTGTTGACCTAGTTGACGTGGAGTAGGAGCTTCTGAAACGGAGGCTTTGGGTGCTGCTGCAAGCTCGACCTTTTTAAATGTGTTCTGGTAGCAGGTTCTAGCCATTTTTTGGTTCCTTTTGAGCACTCCTATCCTCTAAGGAGTTGGGAACTTTATACAAAGGTGTGGTTAAGAGATGATAGCTTCAACTCTAGAGTATAGCTCTTCCAATTATGGCATTGAAAGTTGATTCCATCTTAACCACCAAAAAATTTATTGACACCATCCTAAATCGTGGTTCAGCACCCACATAGATGGGAAGTGTGATTACTCCCTCAACAGGGACGGGCTTATTGTCAAATCCGTAGATTGGCTCTTCATACTTCTTCAAGGAAGCTGAGTTTAGCTGCATCTTTTGGAAACAGCTCCAATATAGGATGTCCGGAGAACTACCCGTATCTATGAATACCTTATTGATGTTGTGATTGCCAATGTGAACTATCACCATGAAAGGGTCAACGTGGGGCATCATAACGTCAGGTGCTCCCTCCAACCACTTGTAATCAGCTGGACTAAATGTAATGGGCACACTTTCCCATTTCACTTTCTTAAACGGTCGTTTCAAGGGCCTATTCTTGTTCACTGTAATCACTTAGTGAGCATAGGCTTTACGACCTTGGGCACTCTGGCCCCCTGAATGCATGCCACCTAAAATTATGTTGATTGTGCCAGAAGGTGGGGGTATTTTGCTGTAACCGACCCCTCTATGGTCCTTTTGATTCTATGTAGAGGTTTTTTGTTCTTGTCCTCATTTGTTGAATGGGCATCCTCTATACGTTTTGCCAGATTCAGAAGAGTCTTGACTCCCCTGATATGGATTTTGATTATTGTCGAGCTAGTACCCTTGCCCCTGAGATCGGCCATATTCTTGCACAAAGTGAGTCTGACTGGGTTGTTGGGCGTAAGGTTTGTGAACATATCTTTTCAGTTTTCCATTGCGAGCTAAGAATTTCAGCTCGTCCTTCAGGCTCTGACAGTCTTCTATGTTGTGGCCATATCCACGGTAGTAGTCACAATAGTTGCTTCTATCCGCTCGTGGGGAATCATGTAGCAGGGGGGGTGGTCTCTTAACCCACTGTTGTATTTGTGCCAAGATTTGATACCTTGACAAGCTCAGAGGAATGTAATTGGCATATTTTGGGAAGGAAGGTGGCTTTTCTCTCTGCTCACCAATTTTTTGCTTTTTCTTTTCTTCTCTTCCTTATGGCTGTTTGTGCTCTTTACTTTGTTTATCGTCAACTCGTCACTTGGACGATTGAAAGTCTTCTGACAATATGAAGCTCACTGACTTGTCATTTACTTCGTTCCACGACTTCAGTGGATTTTCCAGTAGGTCGTCTAAGAACCAACTAGGTTTGAGGCCGTCCAGTAGGGTAAACAAACAGATGGTATCAAGGATATTATCAATACCCAGGGTGGCCTTGTTGGACTACTGCATATAGTTTGTCAAAGACTCTCCTTCCCTCTGGTGAACTTGCATCAACTCAGTAACAGTTCGTTTTATCTCCCTCTAGCTCGTAAATTTGTTAGAGAATAAAGTAGCAAGCTGGGAGTACGAAGCTATGGAGTGTTTAGGGAGCTTGTGGTACCATCTTCTAGCGGTGGATTTCAACGTTGCAAAGAACACCTTGCACATCATTGCATCAGTAGCATTCTAAATTTTCATGATCATTCGATAGGTGTGCAAGTGTTCGTCCGAGTTGCCAGAACCATCATATGTTTCTAAATGGGGAATCTTGAATCCCTCTTGATATGATTCTGTTGTGATGGACAGATTGAGAAGAGCACTATCTAAATCCAAGGCTTGTTGACGCGACCTCGAACTCTTTAGCTCGTCAACAAACCTTTGTATATCTTTGAGTTGCCTTTTGAGCTCTACGCTTTTCTTCATTAATTCCTCACTATGCTTGGACAAGCTAGGCTCTGGATTTAATTTTCCACTTCCTCTTGGTCTGGTTGGAACTACCACATTGCTCAAGGCCGAGGAGTTGTTGGTTGCAACTACTGCTGTCGGCTACCCTATTTAGCAGAGGAATTAGGGTCATAAAGGATCAGAAGAGAGAATTCTTCCCATAGCCATTTCTAGAACTCTAGTTCTTTCTTCTAGTTTGGTCGCCCGAGTAGATTCCACAGGTCTCTCAGGTCGTGAAGTATTTTGCCTAGGATGCCTTTGCCTTGTTTCCATTGGAATGTGAAATTGTTCTTTAAGTTGGGTTGCATACCCAATAGTTGTTCATTCATCATCCGAGCTATATGATTTTTCTTGTTCCGCTCCACCAACAAAAAAGTTTCTCGGCATTGGCCGGAAGTTGTTTAAGTCACTTTTCGAAAACTGAGTATTATCCTGGTTGTCCATGTTACCTCTCGGGGGGCGGTTTCCTGTAAATGTACGTACCATTTTTAGCTCAAGCTAGTTAAACTACAGCACTTTTTGTTCAATTTCCCACAGACGACACCAAATGTTTGGGCAACTTCACAATCCTACACTATAGATATCTTCAACTACTTCAACACTTGAAAATCTCGAGGATGTTTACTCGGGGAAAACACTCCGATGCTCAAGTTAGCAATACTCAATATTCTAGAGAGAGAAACTCTTAAGGAGTAATTGCAGAGAGAGAAGCGTAATAGAGTTAATACTTTAAGTGGAGGTAGTTGGGGGGTATTTATAACCTCATGTGCTAACATGAGTCCATACATGTGGGCATCCGATTGGTCCATGTGTTACTACCCAAAGTTTTAAAAAC